GATAGCCCATTTTGTAGCTTTGTGCTTAACTACCAACAAACAAACCTTTACAAATTGCCTCCCAGTGGCGCAGCGGTATGTCTGCGGACTTACAACGCTAGAAATCGGGTTTTGATACCTGTGGTGGGCAAGCACAGATAGCCCATTTTGTAGCTTTGTGCTTATCTACCAACAAACAAACCTTTACAAACTTGCCTCCCAGTGGCACAGCGGTATGTCTGCGGACTTACAACGCTAGAAATCGGGTTTTGATACCTGTGGTGGGCAGAGCACAGATAGCCCATTTTGTAGCTTTGTGCTTAACTACCAACAAACAAACCTTTACAAATTTAACATCTGGCCTTGCGTAAGCTACGAAAGAGACTTAAAAATACTAGGTCTGAACATATGACCACATACGTTTCACGTGAAAGTAAAGAATATTGTATGATGACATGTTATCCCCACCCCCACCCCACCCTAGTGGTTCAGCGATAAACCTAGGGGCTTACAACGCTAAAAATCGGTTTTAGATATCAGTGATGGACACAACAGAGCTAGTAGCCCACTTAGAAACTTTATTCTTCACTACAAAGAAACAAATAATAAAATGTCAACCACGCTATATCTGCTGTATCCAGTGCCAATGAGGCCTTTAGCCCATTACCATTCAAGGCCAGCTGGGATAAAAAAGAGAAAATAGTAGCTGAGACGCTGTTTTATATTAGCAAATCGCTTGCCATCATCTGTTAGGTTATGAACTGGACACAATAATAACTTGCGAATCTTCTTATAACTCGCTTGGTAACAAAAGATGCGTATTATTTTGAGTATTATAATTCTTTATGAGCTCTTTTTAAAAAATTAATTATGAAGTTAATCTGTTAGATCAAATATACCACGCTGTTAAGGTAAGTAAGTGCACTTGTCTTCTCACATCCAATAAAACATGGTCATTCAACTGGATGTACAATGGCTTTACTGAGAAGGTGCTGAATAATAAGACTATAATTATTTAGTACGGTGGGTATTTGTTAACCATTTTGACACCCTTAATATGATATACTCCCAGTAAGGTGTTGCTACCACACCTTTTAAGACATCCTTTTCACACCTGTAAAAGTGATTCGCGAGCTTCTATTCCTGGCCGTGTTTCAAAAAGTGTTACAGTAACTGTTGTAACACTTGCAAACGTTAAAAAGTACGAGTGGAACAATGTTTCTTATAACAATAAGAGTTACGATTCGAAAATCTTTTGCAGTTTTATGACAAACCCTTGTAAAGTCTTAGATATTAACGTTTTATGTAAAATCAGATTTAATTCTTTAGTTGTGTGTTTTAGACGTTTCGCGTAAACTTACACAAGGGTTACCTGAACATAGCAGTCGTTTATTCTAGAGGGTAGAGAGTTAGCCAACAGCACCAACCACAAACGTGCTCTTGTATGGACGAATAGCGGGACTTGGCCGTCACCTTATAGCGCACACACGGCCCCAAAGCTTAGATCGCATTTTCGCGACAAAGAGACTGGGACCATGAACTCTCGAATCTACATTCATAGCACGCTAAGAGCTAGGTTACGTCATCCCATCTGACTCAATAAAGATTTATTTAACAAATGCTTATAGCGTTTTCTTTTTGGCGAACAGTAGAAAACTAATAACAAGTGTTCGTTGTTTTTTTGTTTGTAGTTAAGCACAAAACTACCCAATGGGCTATTTGTGCTCTGCCCACCACGGGTATCGAAACCCGATTTCTAGCGTTGTAACTCAGTAGACATACCGCTATGCTACTGGGGGGCAAAGACAAATGAAGATTGTTCGTTACAGTCTGAGAGAAGAACATGCAAAATGCGTAACTGGGATATAATGTTCTTTCTCCTTCTGTGATCATACATCAAAATATTTCATTAACAGAGATCTGAAACATAAATTTGAATGTAACCAGGACTTGTAATGTATTATTACCACTTGAAATAGTGTGTTTAAATATCATCTTTTTTTAAACTTTTTTTTTAGGGTATTCATCATAACTTTGACTTCTGGTTCCATTGATCATTAAAATACTGTTTTAGAAATTAACATACAAACATGTAGAGAGGTTTAACAACGAACACATATTTCTGTTACAAACAGGTATAAAAACTCTTTCTATTTTAACCAACCACAAGTGGAGTGGACGTCATGGCGTAATGTGGGTGGAGCTTTGTGGGAACAGCACCTATTATTACTGGTCCATGTGCCGACGTTACGTGGGCCTGGTTTGGGAGCTTGATGTCAACGTCGACGGAGGCTCCGGTTCTGGAGGAAGAGACGGCGCCACAAGCCGTCATGTAAATACAGGGCAGAAAAGTAATTACAGTTTGAAGTTACTGAAACGGAGCTTTGCGTCCACGGAAGGTGAAGTTTATCCACTTAGCTCGAATTTACGAACAATTTTACTCCAAAATATCTTCGTTGTTATCAACAAGAAAACAGTTAGTCTAACTATTCAAATTAGACTCCACTGACTCTCTTTCAGAGTCCGAACATTTCAGATAAACCGACAAACAAATAGATAAACAAAAAGAAAGACACAAAGACAGATATTCGTACAGACAGGCTAACATACGTTGCTAGGATTCATCAGATAAATATCCAAATGGAAATAAATCTGTTAATTATTTGCCATCAACCGTTGAAGCTATATCAAAGGCTGTTTTGATACAGCTGGAACTTAATAACACGAATAAGGAGAAGTTCAAACGCTGTTTTGATACAATTGGAACTTAATAACACGAACAAGAAGTTCAAACGCTTTTTTAATACAGCTAGAACTTGACAACACGAACAAGAAGTTCAAACGCTGTTTTGATACAGTTGGAACTTAATAACACGAACAAGTTCAAACGCTGTTTTGATATAGTTGGAACTTATTAACACGAACAGGTCCAAATGCTGTTTTGATACAATTGGAACTTATTAACACGAACAAGAAGTTCAAACGCTTTTTTAATACAGCTAGAACTTGACAACACGAACAAGAAGTTCAAACGCTGTTTTGATACAGTTGGAACTTAATAACACGAACAGGTCCAATTGCTGTTTTGATACAACTGGAACTTAATAACACGAACTAGAAGAAGTTCAAAGGCACTTTGGTACAGCTAGGACCTAGTAATATGAACAAAGAGAAATCAAAGACCGTTTTGATATTGCTTGAACTTCATTAATAACACGAACTAGAAGAAGTTCAAAGGCACTTTGGTACAGCTAGAACCTAGTAATATGAACAAAGAGAAATCAAAGACCGTTTTGATATTGCTTGAACTTCATTAATAATACGAACGAGACGAAATTCAAAGGATGTTGTAATACAGCTGGAGCTTAATAACATGAACAGAGAGAAGTTCAAAGGCTGTTGTTAATTTACCAGCGATGTATCTAAGCAATCAGATGCCAAATAAACCAAAAACTATGCTGTGCTTATGAATCTTTATCATCGACAGCTAACATACATTCAAATGAGTCAAGGACTGATCTTTGCAAATCGATACCTAAATGTGAAAACAACTGTCAGTGCCCCCAAGAATGGACTAGTACCATAGTTTTCCTGTTTTATATATTTGATTAGAGATTTCAGATAAGATAGACTTTTTTCTTTTGTTTTCTCTATAACATGTATTGGGGAAACAAAGTGAGGTAAAAGCGATACGTCAATACAGGGGTGGTGGGTAAGTGCAGTTTTGAGAACACGTGTTGTTTGTAGGAAATGTTAACCAGTAGATAAACATTCTCTCTACGACCTCCTGCACAGAAACGGTGATCAATAAAAGTTACTTGTGTTTGAGTCAAACATAACTTATTAGATTTTTATGGGAAATCGATAAAGATAATTTCCCCTCTTAGAAGTTGGTTCTTCGTATAATTTTTCTCGAATTAATTATTTTTTACTTAACTTCTTCTTTAGATTGATCTTTATGTAAGTATACCAGTTATTCCCACATCTTTATAGTATAAATATACCAGCTACTTCCACATGTTTATACAATAAATAAACCGATTACTCCCACATCTTTATAATATAAATAAACCGATTACTTCCACATGTTTATACAATAAATAAACCGATTACTCCCACATCTTTATAATATAAATAAACCGATTACTTCCACATGTTTATACAATAAATAAACCGATTACTTCCACATGTTTATACAATAAATAAACCGATTACTTCCACATCTTTATAATATAAATAAACCAATTACTTCCACGACTTTGTAATATAAATAAACCGATTACTTCCACATGTTTATACAATAAATAAACCGATTACTCCCACATCTTTATAATATAAATGAACCGATTACTTCCACATCTTTATAATATAAATAAACCAATTACTTCCACGACTTTGTAACGTAAATAAATCGATTACTTTCACGACTTTGTGACGTAAATAAAGCGATTACTCCCACACCTTTATAATATAAATAAACAAATTACTTCCACAACTTTGTAACGTAAATAAACCGATTACTTCCACACTTTTATAATATAAATAAACAGATTACTTCCACAACTTTTTAACGTAAATATAGCGATTACTTCCACACCTTTATAATATAAATAAACCGATTACTTCCACAACTTTGTAACGTAAATATAGCGATTACTCCCATACCTTTATAATATAAATAAACCGATTACTCCTACGACTTTCTAACGTAAATAAACCGGTTACACTCACATACTTATAATGTAAATAGGCTGATTACTCCCACAAATTTACAATGTAATAAATGGATCACTTCCACAACTTGGTAATGTAAATAAACCGGTTACACTCACATACTTATAATGTAACTAGGCTGATTACTCCCACAAATTTACAATGTAATAAATGGATCACTTCCACAACTTGGTAATGTAAATAAACCGGTCACTTCTACACCTTTGTAATTTAAATAAACTGGTTACTCCCAAATTTTTTAATGTAAATTTTAAAGTCGAGTTTCGGCTTTATTTCACTAACATTTAACTTGTAGAATGTCGATAAAGCAAACAGTGAGATACGTGGAGAACAGAGTGCCTGGAAATTATATTAACAAAATTGTTTATTTGTGTTTCAGGGACAGGAGCCTTGAATCTCTGATACAACGGTTACTGCTGACTTCCTGCATGGAACCTCATGTTAGTCTTGCACAGACCATAAGATTCCTGTATGTTGCAAATAAAAAGTTGAGAATAATAATTATTAGGCTTTCGTCTTTTGATTTTGTAGTCGTTGTCGTGTTGACAAAATCTTATCTAACAGTACGCTCACCAATTAGTACACAGGATCACATACAAAAGTTGCAAGGAATTAAAAAAAAAGACCGAGCGCTTTCAAATAGTTGTATATTCTTCTTTAAGATAACAGTCAAGACATACATAATGTAAGAATTATAGGAAACGAACACTTTTTTTTTTTTACAAATAGAGGTCGCCTTCGATTGACCGCCTTTCATCCACTTAACGCAAAATATTTCCAATGAAAACCCTCAATTCATACTTTTCATAAGATACCAAGATAATGTATATGTGATAACAAGATAACACGTATGTTATAAAGAGATAACATACATGTAATAACTTATATATATATATTTAAATATTAACTATCTACTTTCGTCAGAGTTAACGTACAATGGACCTTTTTAATTTTGCTGTTTAAACCGTGATCATATACCATCACTAATACCTTCACCTCACAAAATACTTATTATAAAAACGGTTTAGCTGTACTTAGTTTGTACATTCGAATAAACTGTAAATATACAGTTACACCAGTGCTTTCACCTCAAGAAATACTTATATTTAAAAAAAAACCAAGTACAGCTAAACCGTTTTTAAGATAAGTATTTTGTGAGGTGAAGGTATTAGTGATGGTATATAATCACGGTGGTTTATTCGACTGTACAAACCATATACAGCTAAACCTTTGTACATTCGAATAAACTGTGACTATACATTAACACCAGTGCTTTCACCTCAAGAAATACTCATATTAAAAAACAAAAGGTTTAGCTGTATATGGTTTGTACAGTCGAATAAACCACCGTGATTATATACCATCACTAATACCTTCACCTCACAAAATACTTACCTTAAAAACGGTTTAGCTGTATCTGATCTGTACAGTCAAACAGGTTTCGTAAAGTTCTCTATTTCACCATGTAGAGTAAAAGGTAAATCTGTGTATTTTGCGAGAAGGTCGCCAGTGGACAGCACCCACCACCAATTTTTGGGCTGTTCACAGCACCCACCACCAATTTTTGGGCTGTTTTTGTCTAACCGAATAGTGAAATTTTACCGCAACTTTTATAACGTACCCACGGCCCCAAAGGAGTTCGGAGCTCGATTTTGCGACAATGGGATGCGAACATGGAATCCTCGGATTCACAGTCTTGATACAATAACCACTAGGACTCACTTGACCCGTATGTAATTTTGGTAATCGATGAATGTTTTCTAATGGTTGAAATGATGACTCTCTAATTTAGTTAAAAACGTTTCTGTTGTTAGATTATATTTTGGAAATATAATGTTTAATTACTAATTAATTCTTTATTTTTTTGTATTCTAGATAACCACTTTTTCAGTGAACAATACGAATTACTATTTGAATTGTCTCATAAAACCAGTTATCGTTCTATCAC